CTTTCAATAAAATCGGTTGAAGGGTTATTAAGATATTTACGAAAAAACGATTTCTTTTGAAAATTTTGACACCCTGTATCTTGAAAACGAAGCATTACCGGACCTATGTTTATATGAACTTTTCGTCTTAGAATCACTCAAAGAATCACCCCTTCAAGTTTGGCCACGTACTTAAATAACACCCTGTATATCTATCGCTCCTTAAAATTGAACAGTTACGTTAGATATACGGGTTGATATTCCATTACAGAAGTGACATGCACACTGTTTATATTTTTAAATACATCCAGTGGGATTGCATTTTATTTTATGTTGAATATTAGAGTGTGTTTTTTCATGTGATATATTTTTTTTTGTTTATTTCAAATATATATATTTTTTAGTAGGCATACTAGTACTTCTTTTATATAATTCTGAAATCTGATCCACCCTGTATTTGTTTCAATTAAATGGCATCAGTAGATAGTAAATAGAATGTTAGGATAGGGACACGACATGTAAGCCATTTTGACAAATCAATATAGGTATTGTATAGTTTCGATACAAAAAAAATCTCGATTTTTCACATTCTACGTATAGGTAGCTTGATCAACGAAATCATAGCTCAATTAGAAGAATCGAAAAATGTAATGAAATATAAGGTGTTCCATTTTGAATAACAAAGCTGCTACTACTATACTACTAAGTACTACATAACTACTAATAATAATTTCTAGTGAAGCAGATGAACATTATCGAAAATAATTTGAACAAAACGAGCGTCCTCGCCAACAACACATAAGCATATAATATGTACATATAGTTTCATGATTTTCGATGAGTGGTTCGCTAGTTACATGTAGGACTCGTCGTGACATAGCGAATTATTTCAAATCAAATCATCGCTTTCATTATCTGATAGGTCGCAGTAGATCACTTGATGCCTATCAAATGTTTCTTATTTATTCGAAAAAAAAAATGTTGAAATGTGATCAAGAAAACTGTTGGTGGCCCAACTACAAAAACCCACCGCTTAGGTAACGATCGGGCGTGTTCGGTGAACACACGGGTATGATCTCGAGACTCTAGTAACGAAAACGCATCTCAGCATTTATAGACCACGAGGCGTTCAACGTCCGCGAAATGAACGCGAACGCCACCTGCAAGGAAAGAAACACTCCAAAACAATAAGATACCATTTCAGATTTCAGGTGAAATGGGAGTGGCTGGTTGCCTGACTGGCGTTTTTTCAACGTCTATACGAATTATCCCTTAGATTTCGGGAGGATGTAATCCAATGTTCTGCGTGGCATATAGCCAGGAAAGTAGTTGTTTTTCTCTCGTTATCTACCATTTTCGGTGATTTTATGAACTATTGTGATGATGACTTTGAGTTTCTCTCTATTTATGACCATTGCATTCCACTTTGAGCATTTGGCTTTTTCCTAGTTTTTTTGGTATCGAAAAGAATTCAATACGAGAAGGAAAGTGAGTAGGAGAAATTATGCGGTTTCAGATCCGTAGTATATCCTCACTCCGAGGTTATTATGGAACCTGTTGAAGTTTTTGATATTACGAATATTACCATTCAAAAAAAAAATCAGAAAATGTGCCAAACAGAATTTAATGTACCACAAATGTACCACCACGGTAACACTGGGTGCGAACCTGACCCAACGTAAACGCATCTCAGCATTTATACACCACGAGGCGTTCAACGTCCGCGAAATGAACGCGAACGCCGAACGCCACCTGGCAAGGAAAGAAACACTCCAAAACAAGATTCCATTTCAGGTGAAAATGGGAGTGGCTGGTTGCCTGACTGGTGTGTTTTCAACGTCTATACGAATTATCGCATAGATTTCGGGAGGATGTAATCCAATGTTCTGCGTGGCATATAGCCAGCGAAGTAGGTAGTTGTTTTTCTCTGGTTATCTACCATTTTCGGTCATTTTATGAACTATTGTGGTGATGACTTTGAGTTTCTCTCTATTTTTGACCATTGTATTCCACTTTGAGTATTTGGCTGTTTTTTGTTATCGAAAAAAAAAGCAATACGAGAAGGAAAGTGAATATACACTCAACATTTTTTGTGTGAAAGAGAAATTCTGCGGTTTCAGATCCGTAGTTATATCGTCACTTCGAGTTTATCATGGAACCTGTTGAAGTTTTTGATATAACCATTAAAAAAAATCAGAAAATGTGAAAGTCAAAATGATACGTATTTTTTTGACAAAAATCGTATAATTGCCCCTATTTCTTCTCAACCGTTTCCGTTTTATTACGATTTTTGTTGAAAAATTTGAGTTTTCTCTAGTTCTTTTGTAAAATTTCGAAAGTAAATTTTTCAAACTTACACCAGAGCCAGTATACATGATGATCTCTGAAGTGAGATTAGAAGGTAATTTTTTGTCAAATCAAACATCTTGTCTATGGCAAATAACTAAATGCATTATCAAATTCTGTTTCAACTGATTGTAAATAAGCCTGGTAAATTTCGATTCGTATTCGACGCAGTTGCCAAAGTTTCTGGAGTTGTATCTATATCTATCTCCACAGGTTTTTCGAGTTTCAAGAGTTCATTTATAAAAACATTATGGCCAAACATTTGAATTGTAGAACAATTCTAGAAGCGGTACAGAAAATTTGTTGATACCAGATCTCATTTCCTCTGGTAAATTCGCTTGAAATAACTATGAAACCCTGTATCATAGAATTCGTTATGATAATTCCTAACCGATTAATCCGATTATGGAATAGACTACAGGGTGTCCTATTTCAAAATCGAAAGTTGGGGTCGTTTTCTGTGAAACCAGAAATGATGGGAACTCATATGGATCTATTTAAAAATGTTCCAATGAATTCGTTGACATCCGGTGTGTACTGTTTTGTACTTGATCAAAGTTATACATATAGGGCTGAGCCAAAATGACATTGGGTGCAATTTGAAAAACCAATATTAGAGATAGTCTTTAGTAGGTTGTTTGGCAGAAGGATTATCTGCACTCAATATTTCAAAGAATGTTTCATCTTATGAAAACATTTTTCTTGCAATATTATATCAGATGTTATGGAAGATTTAACATCTTCTAAGTTAATAATTTCCATTAGTTAAACTTATGCAGGTGAGAATGCCAGCATGATAAAAAATCAGGACATCATTTCGAGTTTTCCGAGTAGATAATTATTTGAATTATTATTCCATTACAAATCCTGATGTATAAAAATTACCCTTCCTGAAACGGAAACTCACTAAACTTTTTCATTTTTTCTAAAATTAAAGCTTCGCCGAAAAAGGGGTGAAATGTTGTAGGATAACAAATACCCGAGGGGTAAACCGCAGTGGAATTCTGGTGTACAAACGACTGGAATTCCCTGAAATTCCCTGGGTTCCCTTGGAATTCCTTGGATTTTCTCAGATTCCCTTGGAATTCCTTGGGAGAAGTGCGGTATGTTCCTGGTCTACAAACAACTGGAATTCCTTGAATTATTTTCTTAGAATTCCTTGGATTTCCTTGGATTTTCTTGGAATTCTATGGGTGAAGTGCGGTATAATTCTGGGGTACAAACAACTGAAATTCCTTGAAATTCCTTGTGAAATTGAAGTTTGGTGTACCCAATTTTGACCGCGGTTTACCCCTCTTAAATACCTATAGTCAGGAGTTGTAATATCAAGACACTATGTGTATGGTGTTCTATTTGAAAAACCAAAGTTGATATTCATTTCAACGAAATAGAATGCCCTAAGAAACAAGAATTCAAGTCATCTCAACCAAATTCTGTGCTCAATATATCTCCAAAAACAAAAGTAGGTAAAAAATCGATCTCAAAGAAGCGCACCGTACACCTGTATTTTCATGGTTTCACTTCCTGAAAGAATAGAGGTAATAAAGCGAAAATTAACTCAAGGGTTAATTTATTGATTTTCAAAACATTGCAAAACCCTACAAAGATTATGTTGTTATTTGACAAATAAATTTACATCGACTTTAGATTTGAAATGACATATTATACATAACGTAGATAGTTGTAATGAATTTCAGCATACTCATGACAGCCAGAATCCACTTTTACTGTCAGCACTAATGTTGAATCAATCGGATGAATGCCTAATCAATAATTTTATTAGGTCAATGTAGGGGTTCCGAAAGAGCGCTGACGCGCATCTTCTGACTCTGAAAAGTTCCTAATAGCATAAAACACTATCTCAACTCATGAAATTTCCACATACAATCTAACGAATCACAACAATGGGGTTTTACACACCAGTGGAATTTACGCCACATATTTTATTTATATTGATAATTCTGAGTATAAATAGTAATTGATGCAATCATTTGTTATTTAAAATCATCACAAATACTTTTTTCACTAATTAAAATCGCATAGGCCTTTTCATGTGGCAATAGTGATATTTGTTGTTCCTCAACAAACAATGCGACCCTTCCAAATTTATTAACTAGTAATTACGTCATGAGATTTGATATGACTAATGAAACAGTATTCCTAATATTCCTAATAATGGTCGAGATTTCATTTGAACCCAAACTATTTTTTACCCTAATGCTTAGAGTTTACAGAAACATCAAGGAAAGTGAAGAATTCTAACCCAACCAGGGTCAAATCTTACAAATTCAGCGGATATTCAAAGATAATCCTCATATTATCTGATTCTTGAATTGAATAGGCGTCCCTGCGAAAATGTTCTCGAATATATTTCGTTCCGTAACAAATTGCAAAAATTCTGAGAATGATTTAACATTTATTTGAATTACCCAGAGACGAAACAACATTACAAGTGTTTGTTGAAGCTTCAAATTCCAATAATCATTTCACGGAAATACATTGAATGACATAATATTGATATAAGTACACAATCAGCATTATATGTGCCTTTGGTGTTACGCCAATGTTAGGGTTTCAAATAATAATATGGCTGCACTAGTTCAATGAATGGGTACAGAAAAATTACATTCCATCTCTTAGAAAATATATTATATTCGATTCTCATGTTTTTTGTTCAGCTGTTCAACAACATGAAAAGTGTGTTCACACTTTTTAAAGAGCGTAAAATGAGATGTTCCTGGCATTCTGATCTGCAGTAAACCATTCAGACCAGAAAATTAATTTCATATTTTGATAAAAATGACAATCAGAAATAGTCTTGCACTTGTCTTACAGAAATAGAGAATGAATACATAAGTAGAATCTTATATGGTTGTATTGCATGAAATATTGTGAATTTCAATCACTATTCAAAAAATTTACAGAGCTCTGAGGAAAAAACCGTTTGTGACAGTGGACTATTTAGGGTTAGTACTTTGAGATAATGAAATAAAATTTTCCACTGAAATAGGACCATTTCCATAGATCCCCGAGTAGATTATGTTATCAACCACTTCCGGCGTGGCCATTTTAAGATAGAAGTGAATTCTAGCGTCATGAGTTTAGATTAAACATACTTGTTGAAAAAGATGTGATGAAATATTCTGTGCAAAACATGTTTCAAAAAAGAATAAACCAACGAACAACAACAATAAAAATTTAAACAATCAACTATTCCACTTCAACAAAAATTAACTGAATCATGTGAAAAGTGACAATATGGCGATTAATATTGAATATTAGGTACTACTCATAACAAGCAGATACTCATCTCAGCCACAGTTTCAACCTGAGAGCATCAACTCCATTCAAATAGTATCTGAACAGCCTTTTGTCACGTACAAAGCCTAACTTTTCATAAAGCTGTAGTGCAGGTTTGTTAGTCACTTCTGTTTCTAAGACAACCTCATCTGCTTCACCCTGTATCATCTCGTTGATAGCCATCTGGACTAAGTTTGAGCCGATTCGCAGTTTGCGAAATTTTTGGTCAACCGCGAGCATGGCTATGTAACCTCTTTTGATCACTTTGCGGTGGACATCCAGTTTGCAAACGATTGCTCCTACACATTCTTCTCCAGACATTGCCTGAAATAATTGAAAACTTGATGGGTATTTTCTTTGGTATACAGAGGAGTGCACAAAAAACGGCCAGTGATGTAACTTCTGAATCATTCGAGATCGGAGTTCGAAAATTGGTGGATAGGAAGTATACCAAATTGCCAAGCAAATTGCTCATTTATAGCGTAATATATCAATCAACGTTTATAGACAAAAGAATTTTAGTATCTTGAGGCGGTATACTTGGAAACAGGTTTTGTACATCAAATGAAATGAATTTTGTGTAGTCAGGTAGAGTGACATTTTGAATTTCAAATAATTTGAAATTCAAAATTTCATATTTGAGTTGAGGAAATATTAGACAAAAACCATGTTTATCCGATAACCAAACAAGAGATTTTAGACCTTTATGTCGATATGTCTCAAACAAAATTACTTTCAATTTGACAACAAAATATAATCTGCGTCAAAAGGGTTGACTATGGGAAATGTACTGAGCTCTTTTCTTGCTGAAATTTTCATGAAAAATTTGGAGCGAATTATACCTGAACATTCATCGATAAAACAATTCTTGTATTGGAGTATTGGTATAGATACGTAGATGAAGCTATAGTATGCTTCAAAGGAACTAATAGAAAATTAGACACTTTTCACCAATATATTGATACTATTCATCCAAACATAAAATCACAATGGATATAGAAAGAGAAAAGTCAATCAATTTCTTAGATTTGACAAATTAATGATAAACATGATTTTTCAATTTTTCCATAAACCTTCCCACAATGATATCACTATTCATAAAAATTCAACACACCCTCATCAACATAAAATTGCAGGATTCAATATGATACACAGGCTAGTGAATGTCCCTCTTTCGAGAGTAAATTTCAATAAAAAGAACTTGATATCATGAAACAGATTGCAGTGAACAATGGATACAACGTTAATTTGATAGACAGTATTCATTCTAAAGAACTCCAGAATAAAGTTATTCAAGAACTTTATCCTACCATCAAAGATAATAACGAAAATTATAGAACTTTAACCTATTTCGGATCATCCAACTGAAAAATTAGCTTCATTTCCACATAAACAGGACTTAAAAGTCGCATATAGAAAATCAGGGTTATACAAACTTATCTGTGGATCTTGGCCTAAGGTATATATCGGTCAGACAGGTCGTACGTTCAATCAGCGCATTCATGAACATAAGATGAATTTTTCGAAAAAAAAAACAAATTTATCATACGCCAACCTTATATTAGAAGAAGTTGTAGACAAATATCCAAAAAATATGCAATATTAACAGTACCATCTATTTACATCATGAAGTGCGTCAATTTTACCAGGAAGTATACTTAATTAACTTCCAACAAGTCTGATATCCATCTTTACAACAGAAGAACCAAAAGCCTCCAAATACCTACTTACAAAACAAGTACAGGCTGTCCCAATTTCGGTGTCCTTACGGGATATCTCACTTATTTTCGTGAAACTCACGATACATGATACCGCAAACAAAAATTTTATAGCTCACTTCGTTTTTGAGAAACCGGGCGAAATTGAAAATGTTGCATTTTGAGAGCACTCCTGTATCTCAGCTCTTTCAACTTATAGCAAAACTAAAAACTGTCACTTAGACAGTTTTTCACGGGGAATCAAGTGGCGTAGTCAGAGTTTCAAAAGCTGTTATTTTTAGATATCATCCAAAGTTATGTTTCTTCAAATGGAACACCCTGTATATTTTTGATATTCGAAACATATGATATAGGTCCACATTCCAGTTTCACAGAACTATGATGATTGGAATATATTGCTAGTGGTTGAAAAAAAATTTAATATACACCTTGGTAGTAATAGTATATTCTTCAACGAGCGTATAATGATAGCTATTACTCCCGAGGATATGATTCCGAAACGAGCCGTAGGCGAGTTTCGGAATTATCCGAGAGGATAATAGCTATTATACGCGAGTAGAAGACTATACTTTCTCTACGACTATACGATAGTCAGAAATTGAATGTAATCTAATTATTATTTATGAAAATTATATACTTGATGTATGCATTTTAATGATATTATAATACAATTGACAGGAATCTTTAATATTCAACGAACTCAATGATGAAACAACACAATAATTATTAGGTCAGTAAATTATGTTTCTCGTACTTAGTGACTAAATTTTTAGTGATATTCTCACAATTCGTGAAATTTAATGTCGGTGTTGCATTTAAATCAACACTGACATTTTTATTCATATCGCTAGTTGATGTTTTTCCAGATATCAAAGTTAAAACTTAAAAGACTCTATAAGTCAATCTGACATTCGCGAAAGTCAAGCCGTGACGTGACCCGTAAAATGAAGCAGAGCCTTCTTGAGAAATTTGTTTGGTAGATTTGCTGGTTTTTCATTAGTCTAACCTTTTCAGTTGCTGTGGATCCTGAAAATTCTGAATCTGTGATTGGTCGAGTGCCGTTGAATAATGAGTTGGGATCCACGGTGTCTTGTAATCATCTTCATTCATCAATTACTAATCTATATGTAATCAATGTAGAATAGGATAGTTGTAGAGAAAGAATATTATTACCACGGGACCTTATACCCCTCGGCTGAAGCCTTGGGATATAATCTTGGTCCCTGAGTACTAATGATATTCTTTACTACCTTGGTGTATAAATCACTATTTAAGCTCTACCATTAAAGAAGTTCCTACCAGGGTCGAAAAATGAATAAACAAGATACCTACTCATTTTGAATGAAAATTCTTCAAATGAACTGTTTCTTGAAAAGAGTTATCTAGAGTGTGTCTTATTATTAATTGAAATGGTATTAACAAATAATTAAAATGATGAAAGTATTTAGAAAAGTAATCAAGTACTCAAAAACTCAAAATGCTTCAAATCATGATCTTCCAGTGTGTACTGACCACTCCCAATTCAATTAATAGAAAAAAATTATTAAACTTTGACCCCCTATAGCGTTGCTACTGAATGGAGATCAGACTAATATTTATACAAACTTTTTTGATCAAAATGATAAGATCTATGACTCATTTCTGTTTGTACCTTAAAACCAGAAACACCCTGTATATATTTCTCAAGGAAAATAGCACTTGAACTTGAATAAATGGCTTATGTGGTGCCCATAGTGTATTGTCATGTAGGAAAAACATTGAAGTAGATAGCAAATTATGATTGCACATGCTCAAAATCCCTTAGTTTAATAGTTATTTATGTAATAAGGATCATAAAGACGATTATTATGGTACAAGTCGTGAATGTTATCGGGCGAGGCGTAGCTGAGTCCGATAACAGGGCGTGTGCCATAATGATTGTTTATGATTCGTATTACATACAAAATTTTATCTGATGGCATTTATATCAATACATTTTCGAAAAATTAAAAACTGCATTTTCAACATGTCACAATGACAACTATTTTTAAAGGAGTAAGTATTGTGTAGTTTCAAATATTAGTAGGTGAGTGAGCTGTGCTTTGCCATTATATTAATATTACAAATTGTAGTAATTGTTCTTTTACCATTTATAATAAATAGTTTTGTACATAGTTATGCATTTTGAATAAACTTTTTTGATCAAACCATTACATGTTTTCCTTATAGAATTTCATTATGGTACTTAGTCCCATAATGAGCTTCCTTATGTCATCAAAATTGAGTGACATAACGTTGTCATTATGACATGCCATCAGATAAAAACTATTATGTGTCCATGGCAAAAAACTTGAGTGATTATAAAAATTAACTATACAATTACACCTTGCACATCCTTTAACTCCCTTAATTCTTAATTGAAACTACCAAAGTGAGTGTTGAAAGGTGCAGCTTTGACTAGGGAATGAAAAATGATTTACTTTCTAAAAATGCTAATGAAGACAATATGCTTACCAAAAAACACAGCTTTGGCCAATTATGTATAAAATATCTGTATGTATATATCGAATATGGTTCTGACAGATCTTTCTGAATAATCTTCATGATCATTGGCATCTGAAGCTCAGACTCATACTGTATAAAATCTATTTTAGGCTTGGGATCCAAAGACTCTTTTGGTATTGCCTCAGTACCTTTTGAGGTGTCTTCTAACTGAAAGTTTTTCAAACTTTCTGCTATTTCTGAAACACAACCCTCAGTTTGCTCTAGTCTTCTTAACTTGGTGCAAACATCAACACTATGTATTGATTTTGAACTACTTGCTGTAACTGCAACCTGGTTGACTTGTACAGTTTCATTTTGTGGACTACAAGAAGTGTTTTCATCACAAGAAATGTTGTCATTTGAATCTAAATTTGTTATTTCTCCTTTTGTATTGCCTGTTAAATTACTATCTACATTATTTACAGTATTATCACTTGTGAATTTACTCCTTTTGCTTATGCTACTTTGGTATCCTTCTTTTGCATCTGATGAAACAGTCTTGATTATACATTTCTCCTCAGATTCAGATTCTTTTATAATATTAACCACTTCACCATTTTCATGTTTGTTTTTCTTGTTTCTGCTTGAGTTTTTTTTTACTACTATTGTATCACCATCTTCTACTATTCCATTCCTCAAGCCATTTTTCAACTCTTCCTTTTCATGAGATGATTCATTCAAAATACAGTTTTTATGTATGTCTTTGACTTTAATGGTTGAAGGACACTTATCACCTGCATTCTTTTTACTAGTCTTGTTCATTTTGAAAAATGTTCAAAGCTGTTCAAAGTATCATCTAAGTATTCTTGTCATATCAATAAAAACAGTTTCAAAACAGAAACATAATATTCTGATTGAAACATATTGAACCAAGCATAATGAAGTAGGTACTATCCTGTTTTGATGATGGATAGCCTGATTGAATTAGTAGGAAGACAGGGAAGCCAGGAACACGAACAAATTGACTGGACTGAACTGACATCAAGATATTTTTGATATTTTTGAGGTTATTGCTTCTACCTGCTGATTGTCAAAACAGTGAAAACCATTTGAATTGAGCTAGAGGTAGAAGAAATATAGAAATTCTTCATTCCAAAATCTGAAAATTCGTCAGTGTCAAAATGTGAGTACAAACATTCTTTAGCTGAATAGAAAAATTAGATATTTTGAATTTTATTTCACAAAATTCAAGGTAACCTTACTTTTTACTCATCATGATCTATGATCAGAATGTGTTCTCCTCTTTGATATGATCATGATCAGATAATCGGTTGACTGACTATAGTGAAGATAGGCGCATAGCAATATTTCAACTTTACCTCAGATACGTTCACGACTATAATCAGATTCGAGAACGTGGGTCTCGGGCCAGGAACATAACATGGGTGTCGGCTTCATTCTATTCTGAATCCATTATTTAATGTTCCCACTCAAGGACACTTTTTTTCCACCACTAGCTATAGATCCTACCAACATTTACTCCTTTTGAAGGCGTAAAGCGTGTTTTTACTACCAAGGAAATTTTCGTCATATTATGAACCACTAGTCAATAAAAACATAGTGAACCCTGTTATAATCAACCCGAATTCACTGTTCTCATGCGATTTTCACAAGAATGGCACTGGAATCTAGTTGGTAGGTATTTATATCCTTGGGTATTTATCAATAACGATGAGAATAAACGACTTGTCATATGCTGTCATGGTGACTAGATTGTAATCAGAATTGAAAAGAAGTGCTTTCATAGTGACATAGGCCCAATTTCAGTTTCACAGAACTATATATTATGATGATTGAAATATATTGCGAGTGGTGAAAAAAATTCGGCTGAAGCCTCGGGATATAATCTTGGTCCCTGGGTAATAATATATGATATTCTTTACCAACTCGGTGTATAAATAACTATTTCTTGGGGGAAGGGCTGGCCGGGCCAGGCCGCCATCCTTCACTTCGCTTCACGCAAAAATGTACCATTTTATAACCCATGAAACATTATGTAGCATATATAGATAATGTGCACCTTTTCTGCCTGAAGTGGATTTAGGAAAGTTTGTTTGCAACGTTCCAAGTAATTTGAATGAAATTGCTACCTAATCAAAATTGACACTGCCCTAATAACACAAAGCTATCCAACGAATTTCCATCGGATATATAGACGTACATGAACATGCTGTATATACATTGGATGGCTCAAAATGTCTAGCTTCTACCCAATGGACATCCATTATTGTAAATCCAGAGGCCACAAGTTTGGATGTCCATTGGCCGGCTGGGAAGGTCTTCGTCTTCGTATGTTTTTCTCAGCGTTTCCATGGAAGAGATAGTTTGTTTCTCCTCAGCAGATCCAACACGATGTGCTGAGACAATTTCTGAAATCATAATGTTGGGGATGGGAACCTACATACCGAACACTGCAAGGAAGACATCTTCCGATAAGGCCTGGTTCAGTAGAAACTGCTCTAGAGATGTCGCTTCCAAACAGGCAGCATTCCATCGATGGCAGAAAAATCCTGGTCCTGAGACTAGAGCAGAATATGTCGAGGCTAGAGGCATATGCAATGAGACAATTCGATCATCAAAGGATGCTCATAATGCCAAAATAAGATCAAAACTTGTTGAATGTCCTAACGGATTCCGTTCATTTTGGTTCTTCGCCAAAGCTGTAGGAAGAAACTTCATTTCCAGCTCGTTTCCTCCTCTAACCAAGGAAGATGGAACACTAGCCACAACTGCCCAGGAGAAAGCCAACATTTTTGCGCATTTATTTGCTGGAAATTCCACTCTGAATTCATCGGAAAAACAACCTCCAAACAAAACGCCAATTGACAGTCATATGCCCGAGATCGCCTTTCGCCAACGTACTATAAGGAAGATTTTATTGAGCCTCAAGACCAACAAAGCTTGTGGCTCCGACGGAATCCCACCGATTGTTCTCAAGAAATGTGCTCCCGAACATGTTCTCTGCAAGTTGTTCAACTACTCTTACAAATTGGGGGTATTCCCGCCAACTGGAAAATTGCAAGAGTACAACCAGTTCCTAAAAAAGGCAAAAAGACCCTACCTAGCAACTACAGACCGATCGCACTGCTATCTATTATTTCAAAGATATTGGAGAACGCTATCAACATCGAGCTCATGAAATACCTGGAACATTCAGGTATTATCAACGATAGGCAATATGGCTTCCGTCATCAGAGATCAACTGATGGTGAGCTGCTCGCCAAGCTTCCATCTTATGGCTTGCCTCCCCAGCTATGTTCTATGCTAGCTAGTTTTTTCTCAAACAGGTATCTCCATGTAGTGGTCGACGCAGTTTCATCTGACTCTTACCATAAATGCTGGTATTCCGCAAGGATCAATTCTAGCACCTACACTATTTCTACTCCATATCAACGATTTCTTGGAAGTAACTTCATGTCCAGTACCTACACAGCTTCGCGGATGGTAGTACCCTCCATACCGCCTTCTCTTCCAGGGCTCCAATACCAGCCAGGCAAATCAGAAACGAACGAGGGAGAAATGTTGACAACTTAAATATGGACTTGGCAACAATTCTCGAATGGGGATCCAATAACTTGGTAGATTTCAATGCAAGCAAAACACAAGCATGCCTAGAAAAGCCGATCTCACTGTGCCAAACATAAGCATGTCAGGAGTAACCATACCTTTGAAGACATCCATTTCAATGCTTGGTATTACTATCAGCAATAATCTTTCTTGGGAAAATCACGAGAGATCAATTGCTGATAGTGCATTCCAAGAACATGGTTTTCTCTTTCGGGCCAGGAGCTATTTCACTTCCAGTCAGCTGCTTATGATCTATAAGGAACAGATCCGACCTATCCTGAAATACTGTTTCCATATTTGGAGTGCAACACCCAAACATATACCCTGAAACTGTTGGATTCTGTCCAAAAAAGGGCAATTCTTCTCGTGGGTGATACCTCGCTCACAAACTCACTCACTTCTCTGGAACACCGTAGAAAAGTTGGCGATCTGGCTCTATTTTATAGATATTTTCATGGACGATGCTCTTCTGAAATATCAACAATTGTACCTCCCTTAGCAGTCCCCGCGAGATTGACCCGTCGAGTTGAGGCTTCGCACCCCTTCGTGGTCACCTGCAGAATATCAATTCCTACCTTATTTCCCTTGGTTCTCACGATGGTTTCTGAACATTACAGGATATATCCCTTTTCGTTGGAACCAGAACATGAAAAAAATGTACATCTACTGTAGGTACATGAATTGTATCATTATTGGACATGAATTGTATGACATGCGAATTGTACAACTACTGGTCATAAATTGGACAACTTCAGTACAGCTATTGTACAGACACTGTACATGAATTGGACATTTTATGTATAAGTTTTGGACAATATGAATGCAACTTTTCCACAATATATTTTTGAATATATTTTCTCTTCTATCATTATTTTTTCTCAAGAGTCTATAGTAAAGCTGTTTTAGCCCTGCCATGATACATTTATAGTATTCACTTCTACAGCTAAAATGGTTGATTCATACAACGTTGATTATTTTATCACAATTTCACTGCATTTTAAATCACTATTGAATACTTCATATTATATAACGATGGATGATTTCTCTTAGAAATAAAAAATAAGAGAACACTCACTCATCCTGAAATATTATGTGAAAAATTTGAAAAGGTAATCATTACCTACACATAACCTCGAATTGACCTCGAATATAAATAGTTCACTAAGTTCACTGTTGCTTGAACGGGTACCTACGTTAAAAAAATGTAATAACATAATGAAAATGTAACTATATGGTTATGTTGCTGTATGAATCTGCCTCGAACGATACAAACTTCTGCATACAATAACAGCAAACACGAACGACTCAATAAGCGACGGAAAATATGACGAACAGACAAAAGAGAACACGAAGCAAAGATGACGATGGCATATTATGCATTTTTTCAGTACATACATCATGGATATTCATTGGAAAGATATCACTAGTTATCCATTGGATGGTCATTTTGGTTCATCCAATGGAAGTACATTTCTTGTCCATGGACATCCGAACCTCTTTTGGACCCAAAATGGACATCCGCTAAATGGCCTGTGTTATTAGAGTGACATTGGGTGAACACCAAAAGATGGTATTTTCAATAAAAAATACACAAAATTGGTTTTATAACATTTGAAGAAGAAATGTTATTTTTCACACGGCAGCAAATGTAGAATGATTGCCTTGGCTGAATTCCTAGCCTCGCTATACACGCTCGGCCATGAACTATCAGCCGCGGCATTCAATCTACTACTTTGCTTCCTAGTGAAACAAATAACTATTGGTCAATGCGCAGGAACTCCCGAACTGAGTAAAATATATGACAGTTCCTAGATGCGCATGATTCATGTTCTACAGTTCGATCCCGTGAATGACATAGCTTCTTTCTTATGGCATTAGCGGTCTAGATAGTACCCAGCCAACACATCTGTGACATGACATCTCTGAGATGTCGCCAAGAGACAACACTGCGATATTTCGAATATTCAATCGCTGCGATCTACAGAAGCAAACTCATCTGCGACATGACATCTCTTAGATGTCGCTATGAGGCAACACTGCGATGTTACGAATGTTCCATCGCTGCGGTATACAGAAAGCAGACACATCTGCGACATCATAACTCTGAGATGTCGCGATATGAGGCAACACTGCGATATTACGAATGTTCTCTCGCTGCGATGTACAGATAGCAAACACATCTGCGAAATGACATACCCAAGACACAGATTAACAAATTTGTTAATCTGTGTCCAAGTTGATGTCATGATGAGGCAACACTGCGATATCACGAATGTTGCATCAGTGAGATGCACACTTGTGGATGGACTTCGTATTTCGTAAATTCTGAAATTTGGTAGGTCTTAAAATTCTTGTTGGGTGAAAAATATTACATGAATATACGTTACTCAACAGAGTGAAGCTAAATTTATTGAATCCGTTAAATTGCTATCAACCTATTCTTGGTTTGCTTACATCTCGCCGACATAATACACTACATAATGTTTTATACAAATACGAACAACTGATATCATCCTAATGGAGATGCGTAGGTATACTAAGGACATATAGCGACGCTGAAAAAAACGATTGCAAGGACAGGAGACTCGACTGCCACGGACCACCAACCAGTCACAACAATGCATAATCGATATTATTAGATGTCTTCAGAGGTCATTTGT